ATCATGAAACAAAACATGAGGAGGTGCACGATCACGCATTCTCCTTCCCGCGATCATCTGAAGAACCTGAAACCATAAACAAAACTGTAAGCACAAAGATACAAATAACAACATGTATTGGGTCCATAGCTAAGAGACTGGATTACCCATGAGCCCATAATATGAATCTGGCTTGCCTAACAGGCCCACATCTCATATCTGGCATGCTCTTGAGCCCACAACATAAGTATGGCTTGCCCCCAGGGCCTACAACTTATGTTTGGCTTGCTCCAACCTAATCAGTCATCAGACTGAAATACCAATGTCCAACCCTAAGTACGAGTCTGGTATACCAACCGGGTCCTTAGTTCGTATCTCGAATGCTACTGATCCCTCAGTATGAGTCTGACATGCCCTACCCGGTCCTCAGCTCATATATGGATTGCTCCAATATCCTCAATCCTTTAGTACGAGTCTGGCATACCAATCATGTCATCATCCCGTACCTGGAATGCACCCGAGCCCTCAGTATGACATATGCATATGCATAAGAATAAGTATATGTATATGCATATGCATAAGAATAAGTATATGGCATATGCATATTCATAAGTATATGCATATGTATATAAATAACTATATGCTAATTCATAAGTATATGGATATGTATATAAATAAGTATATGCATATGCGTAAAAATAAGTATATACATATGCATAATAATAAGTATATGCACATAAATAAGTATATAACTATATATATATATATATATATATATATATATATATATATAAGTCAATTAAATAAATATGATTATTATTATGTATATGCACAAAATAATAGTATTCATCAAAAATTAATTTTTTTGAATTTGTTTTCCAATATTATGCATATGCATATCCATGATATGACATATGCATAAGAGTTAGTATATGCATATGCATAAGTATATATATATATATATATATATATATATATATATATATAGTATGACATATTGATAAGAATAAGTATATGCATATTCAGAAGCATAAGAATAAGTATATGTATATTCATAAGTCTATGTATATACATATGAATAAGTATATGCATATGCATATGAATAAGTATAAGAACCCGAAACCACCACACCAACACTTCCTATTTCATTCTCTGGCGGTGCCGGTGCCTGCGGCGGCTCTACCACCCGAGCTTCGCCACCACCACAAAACAAAATTTTTGACGGGTCCATACATTATACGCCAACCACCACGTGTTTCAATAAACACGGGGATTTATTTTTATGTCTGGAATTCAGTTGGGGAAGTTCTTATAATTGATCATAAAAAGAATTTCATTCGTGGGGTGGTGGCGCTTTCCGGCGGGGCGGTGATCATAAATATATAGAAGATAATGTGTGTCTTCTCTAACGTATCTGTTAAAATAAAAATAAAACACGCATAAACAAAAAGGAAACTGTACTTATAATAGAAAATAATGGATGCAATAATCAGGAACTACCTAAGCATTTCATCAGTTAGTGGACGCAATCGCTTGTCTTCATTTTGGTATCTGCAAGAAATTAAAAATTAAATAGTAAGTAAAATAGCAAGTGTTGTAAAACTTATATATAAATGGAAGAAGAGAGTGTACTCTTTATTTGCAGCAACATCAAGAAGTGTTGCAAAAGAAACTCCACAAAAATTCTCTCCAATTTTGACACTTTCGAGGCCTATAAATTTTGAAATTTTCACAATCACATTGAGAACATAATATAGATACGGTAGACTATTATTTTAAATTGGAAAAAAAATTGATAATAATGTAAAAGAACAACCTGTCCAATATCAAACATCTTGCAAATGTATATGCCAAAATCACGTTGCAGCCATACAATATCCCGATCAGCTCCATTTGAAAAACCTGATATAGATTGTAGTGTTAAAAAATAGTTGAAATTTTGATGTCTTTCTGTACATATTTTTTATACCTTTCTTTTGGTAGGATCTTTGAAAACCTCTCGGAGATATGGACCAATGTGAACCCAAGTTTCAATGTACCCACAATAAAATCTTCTATTCTAGTAGATATTTGCATCAAACATGTAAACCCTTGAAACGATAGATACTAGTTATGTTCCAAATCAACCTAAAGAAGAACACCAAATCATAATATTAATCATTTGGAAAGGATATAATGAAGAACATAGAATGTTGCTATAAAATAAAACCGCAAATTCATCAACTTCACGAATTTGTTGATTTAGGTTGATTCCTTTTTAGCTTTGTAAAACCGAAACCAATGATTCAAACAGTTAAAAAAAGTCTATTTTCACCAATTTTCTTATTCAGGATGTTTATAGTTAGAGTACATTGTCACAATGGATGTGGCTACATAAATGTTTGTTTCAACACCGATCTTGAAAGCCCAGTAATGGATCTAGAGGCCATCTTTTAGGTAATTGTCACAACCATACAACAATCCAGCAATGATGGCAGAATCAGGGTTAAGTCCTTACTCACTAACGCGTCTGAAAATGTCCAAAGATTTCTTATAATATCCATTTTGGGAAAACCCATATATAACAACGTTGATTAATGTTGTACTTGGTTCAGTAATTTCGTCGAACAACTTGAGTGCACTTTCCATGAATTTAAACTTGAAGTACATTTCGGTAAGGGATGTGGCGTTGTATATCTGAATTGAACCCAGTTTTTGTGAGATGGGCGTGAAGCATTTGGCCATGAGGGAGTAGTTTAAGCTTCAAGCATGCTTTAAGAAGGAAAGGAAAGGTGAATTTGTTGAGGGGGTGTGACTGAAAATGAAGCTTTGAAAATAATAAACCTATGCATTTGATTGATGCATTGTTTTTTCTCCTCCTTCACTTTCGATATCAACATTATTATCAAAACTATTCTCCATGAATCTTTATACTTGCACAATTAAAAATCTCAGTGCAATGCATTGCACCATCTCCGACCATCTGCCCTGTTCTTCGGTATTCCTTACAATCGAACTGAAACTCGAGAAAAAGAAGAATAGGACATGTGATCAATTTAAGGGAGAAGGGAATGGTTGAGATCGATTGGAAAGGCTGAGAAAAGAGGGAGGAAACCTGCGATCGATCTCCAAGATAGAAGAGGTTGGTGTGCGTGTCACTCAATAGAGAAAAAAATGATATACAGTTCGTTGGTTTGCTCCCTAAAATGGAGTTCGCTGTTGAACTTGATTATATATATATATATATATATATATATAGATATATATATATATATATATATATATATATAGATATATATATATAGAGAGAGAGAGAGAGAGAGAGAGAATGGGTTCAATGGAAAAAATATAAACTAAAAAAACCATAAAAATCCTAAAAATACATAAAAAGATATTGTTAGATATCTAATGTTTTTTTTAGTATTTAACAAACCTAAAATCGTTGAAAAGAAAATTAAAAACAAAAAAATTTCAAATTTTTTTTCGGAGAGTTTATTTAGAAAGCTACGATTTTTAGGTTTGTAAAGTTAAAAAAGAATTAGACATCTCAAAGTTTTTTTTTATGTATTTCAATTGATTATCTAGGGTTTTTAGGCTTTATATATCTATAATAGATATATATATATCTCTATATATATATATATATATATATATATATATATATTCGTTGGAAACTTGAAAAAAAAATAAAAAAACTAAAAAAATTAAAAAATAAAGAATAACAAATTTTAAATTTTTTTTAAATGAATTCATATATATATAATATCTATATATATAGATATATATATATATATATATATATATATCTATAGATATATATCTCTATATATCGCTATGTGATTTTACTATTTTTAAAGTAAAAAAAAAAATAGACTTAACATATTTCCTTAAACTATATTACCGATATTGGTAATATAAGTTTTTATTTACCCGTAATAATAATATATAACAATATGCTACTTATATTTTAATAAACTTGCTGAATCTTATTATTTATTTATAAATAGAATAGGAATTATAAAATGTATGATAAAATGGTAATTCATGTTTAAATTCAATATTTTCAATGTATGTCTTTTATTTTATATTTTGTAATATTTATCGTGATGCATTTATTTGATATTTTGTAATATATTTTTTATTTAACTTAACGTATTTCCTTAAAACTATTAAAAAAATAAAGTGAATATAAAATTAATTAATCATTAAATTTAATAAATTTAATTTTCTTGAAGTTTTAATTCTTTATGCTACATTTTATGTGTGATTTGCTTTATAATTTTAAATAAATTTATTAACTTAAATACAAAAATAATTAGTAGAAAGAAAAAAACTAAAGAGCTTCTAACCCTACAATATCAGTTGTTGTCCTCATTCCTAGATGTCGAGAGTTCAAGTCTCCTTTGAGACATACATGGACTCAATAATTGTTTAGAAAAACATAGAGTTTAATATGCATTTATGATACATTATATGCTTCCGATTCCTTTACAATTTTAAATAAATTTATTAAGTTTAATGAAAAATAAGTAATACAATAAACGTATTAAAGCAAAGATAAAAATTATAAAACAAACAAAGAAATTTCCTTAAAAAAAAAAACACACAAACACACACACAAATTTTTTACATATTTAAAATCTATGTAGAATTCAGTTAAATAAAAAATATGTGTAGCTACAAGTTAAACTATTATGAACATCTTTATTCTATTTTTGTATATTGCGGGACAATCCTTGAATGCTTATTTGGAAATTGTGATGTCGCCTCATTATTCACTGAATGTTCAAAATATTCTAGAAAGCTAATAAGAAAATGGTAACAGATTATCAATTTTTTAGGTTAAAAATGTTGTAATCAGTAGAAAATCAATAAAACGTAGATATGAAGGGTAAAATGTATTTGCTATAGTTTGTCATATTGTTAAAGACATAACAATGACGAAGTTTAATCACACTAAAAATTTACTTTGTGAAGACCAATATTCTATTAATGGGAATTGTTGATGATTTTTGGGTACTTATTATATGCTCTTCTTTTAGGTGGTATTATAAGCATGGTATTGCTTTTTCTAATGGCGATCTGCTATGCATCGTGCAAGATAATCAAGAAAACTAAAGCAAAGAGAAGAAAACAAAGGTTTTTTAAACGCAACGGTGGAATGGTTCTTAAACAACAACAATCAACTAATGTTGATAAAACCATACTTTTCACCTCCAAAGAATTGCAGAAGGCGACCGACCACTTTAATGAGAATAGAATCCTTGGTCGGGGAGGTCAAGGTACTGTATATAAAGGTATGTTAACCGATGGTAGGATCGTAGCAATCAAGAAATCAATGGTGGTTGATGAAAACCAATTAGTAGAGTTCATCAACGAGGTAGTCATTCTTTCACAGGTCAACCACAGGAATGTAGTCAAACTATTGGGATTTTGCCTAGAGACTGAGGTCCCACTACTTGTCTCCGAGTTCATCTCAAATGGTACCTTATATGACCTCATTCAAAATGAAACCAATGAATTTTCATTCTCTTTATACATGAGATTACAAATTGCTACCGAGGTCGCTGGAGCACTTTCTTACTTACATTCGGCAACCTCCATTCCGATATATCATAGGGATGTCAAGACGACTAATATACTTTTGGATGAAAAGTATAGAGCAAAGGTTCTGATTTTGGAACTTCAAGATTGGTATCAATAGATCAAACTCATATGACTACCTTAGTCAAAGGGACATTTGGTTATGTGGATCCAAAGTACTTTCAATCAAGTCAATTCACTGAAAAAAGTGATGTCTATAGTTTCGGAGTTGTTTTGTTGGAACTTTTGACCAGAGAAAAGCCAATCTCTTTTACTAGATTTGGTGAAAATAGAAGTTTAGCTACACACTTTATGTTAGCCATGGAAGAAGGACGTGTGATGTCTATTTTTGATGCAATGATTGTTAAGGAAGGTTCTAGAACTGAGTTGTTGGCTATAGCTAATTTGGCAATGCGATGCTTAAATTCCAATGGAAAAAATAGACCAACAATGAAAGAAGTTGTCATTGAGTTAGAAGGCATTAGATTGTCACATGCGCCCCTTACAGATCAAACTAAGTTTGGACTTATGAAGCAATGTGAAGAGGAATTGCCAACACATGGTGAGCCAACATCAACTTCAATGACATTCAACGACAACCCTAGTCGATGAATTGTGGTAAATCTTATGTTTTCTTTCATTTAAGCTTTAGTTTCTCCTATTATAAGTGTCTTAATAAATAAGTTGTTTATGAAGGCAGAAGTAGAAGTATCGTATAGGTTGTACATTTTTCTCTTTCCTTGTGTATATTTTATGCTTTTGGTATTACATATTTCCTTGTTTGAAATTTGATCGGTTCTTAATATATAAATACAAATGATGTTATGTGTGTGCCTTATCACTAATCTCTAGAAGGTTTATTGATGAACAAATTAAAACTTTCATAAATTACTTAAAATTCTTGAAACGAACTTGTTGTTGGGTATAATTATGTTTTGATTTCATATCCATATAAACTTATCTAGGGGTGTTTGATATTGTTTATTTAAACGAATTTATGTTTTTTTTTTGTTAAAAGTATTTATCAGTATATACGGTGTCAAAATGAAGTATAAGAAAATGTTTAAATTAGTTTATGACATACAAAAAACAAGAACCTGGTAAGTTGTTTTTGGGTGTCGCAATTTCACTTCTTCCGGCAATTTCACTTGTTGAGTTGTACGTTTTTAATATAGGTTTTTTTTTATCCCTACGAACAATAATTTTGACAAAATATTATATTGAAAACTTTCAAAAGCATATTTCAGAAAATCCCAAATAAAAATAGTAACACAATACCAGAAGAAATTTGACGTGCGATTTATAGAAAACTAATCAAATGAAAAGTAAGAACTAGTTTTGTTTTGTATTTTTTTGTTTTTAAAAAAAGGGAAAAACATATTAAACAACATCAAAATGCAAATTCGTATTTGGTCGGCCTAAACTCTAAATGTCGTATTTACTATTTCTTAATGCCTTTAAATATCATATATACCAAAAAAAAAAAAAAATAATAGCTTTTTAACATTTAATAGCCAATTGTTTTATATGTGTTGCCGTGGATCGGCCATGAGTTTCCCCTGTCTTCAACGAATCGCAACCTCTGTCCGCCTCCGGAGAAACCGTTGCCGGTAGGTTGCGGTGGCAGATTTTGGTGCCTCAAACTAGTTATATTTTCACATTCACAAAAAGCTGTTTTAGCAATCTCATTAGCACTGGATTTTACTCTGTTTTGGCTACCGGTCTGCATTTGCATCTGAATTTGATGTGCTCAATGACGGTCCTGCGAAACAAAGTTATGTGCTGGATGATGCTAGTGTTCTTAGCCAGGTAACCAAATCGGATTTGAAATTTGTTGTTTGATTTGGAGTACCAGAAGAAAATTTACATTGATTTCGTTACTGTTGACAAACTCACGGTTAGTGCCCATCAAGTGTTCGATTGAATGTCACTCTAACGTAACAAAGATTTATTCAGTGTTGTAAACACAAAAACACTAATATATGAAAGGGAAAATGACACAAACGCCCTACAAATTTTATAGGGTTTACCCGTTGAGTCCCTAAAGTTTTTGTCGGGTTTTATGGGTCACTAAATTAGTATATGAACTGCTCTTTTAGTCCCTATCAACCTGTAATAGTCGGTTCAGTGACCTTTTAGACCAAAAAAAACTCACATTGTGCCCCTATAAAACCAAAACAATAAGTTCGGGGATCAATTTGTACCAAAAAAACTCTCATTTTCTTCTAAAGCCGATTCACACTCAATTTGTACCCTCCTAAACCAAATGTTCATCAACATTTTATTCAGCCATTACATCCACCATAAACCACCTTAATCACCACCGAATCAATATCACAACAACCCAATCCAAACATCCTTATTCCTCCCCTTTGTCTCATGAAATAAGCCACCATTTGAGCACCTATAACCCACAAAAACCACCAGTCAGCCACCATAACTAATCACCTGCAAATCGAAGAAAAAAAGAGATTAACTCTCTTTTTCTCTGTTAACCTCATCAATCCCACGCATCATTCTCAACATCACATCCATCAAACCTGCAACTCGGAGGGAGAAGGAGAGGTAGCTTGTGCGATTTTGAACAGAGAAGAAGGAAGGAGGGGGTTAATTCCTTGAAGAGCTGAAATCGAATCAAAGAAAATAGTGGAAGGGGGTTGTGATCGAGAATCGATTAGAAGAGGAAGTGCGTTGTGATCTTTGGTGAGTGTGTGTGAAGATCGAGGGTGAAGACGGAAAGAAGAGCAACGGTCGATTTCTTGGGAGGGTGCGAATTGAGTGTCAATCGGGTGTAGAAGAAAATGAGAGTTTTTTTTTTCTTCCCCGAACTTTTTTTTGGCTTTATAGGGGCACAATGTGAGTTTTTTTGGTCTAAAAGGTCACTGAACCGACTATTACAGGTTGACAATGACTAAAAGAGCAAGTCATATCCCAGTTTAGGGACCCATAAATACCGACAAAAGTTTTAAGGACTCAACGGGTAAACCCTAGAAAGTTCGTAGGGCATTTGTGTCATTTTCCCTATATGAAAATGAAGCAACTCTTTTATGATTTGACAATGGGGTTTACAAAGCAAAGTTGATGCATTCGAGTATGCTGACCAAGTTTTGGAGCGTTGGTATCCAAAACTAGAAGAGGGAAACAACAAAGGGATAGTGGTGCTTGATGCCACTGTATCCCAAAACCTTCCTGGTATCCATCTAATTATTCTCTCTGTTATAAAATATTAATATTCATCTGTTTAATGCTTGTTAATGCAATGATGATTTTGTGTTTCCCCATTTATGCAATAAAGTGATTTTTTACTATTTTTATGATGAATTATTGATACGTGTACGGAGGTGTGTGCGTGTGTTTTTTTTACAGACAACCTAGACCTATAGATTGAATATCGGGTGAAAACAAGTTAATACCTATTAATTTGAGTTCTTATCAAGATCAGGAAAACATTCGTCAAATGATGTTTGATACAAGCCAAGACCTATTGACTTGAAATCGAGCCACGAATGAGAAACGCGTCCCAAACAATGACGACAATCCGAATTATACGCAATAAATCAAGAAAGCAAGAACAAACGTTCAAAATTCAACTTCAATCAACTCCTCATCGTCCTTACAATCGATCTACCAAGGGCTATTTATAGCCTTACAAGCTATTACAAAAAGAAAGGAAACTAATTACAAAAAAAGAAACTACCTAATAAAAGCTTAAAAGAAAATAAAATAAAATGACATAAAATCGTTCCCAAAAAATAAGGTAGAGTCTAGTATCTTCGTCCCTTAAGAAATCATGCAAAAGTCCACGTGTTTGGAGCTGCTCCCAACCAAATTTCGCATCCATCATCAGTCTGTTCGTATCCAATAGTTGTTCGCATCGACCACTCGTTCGCACTCAAAAACTTGTTCGCATCCAAACATCCCATTGGAACCGAGTAGTGTAACATCCTGTTTAGAATTGTTCCCATTTTGAATCGGTGATCAAAGGATTGAAGTATTATCAGGCTTCGGAACCTCGAGGGTTGGGTTTTGGACTCAGTTGGAGTTGGATGATGTATCTTGGTTGCTTGGGTATTCAGTTGGAGTTTTTGGATCAAAGGGTATTTCGGTAATTTGTCAGCTCGGACTTTTATGGAAAATGGATTTTAGTTCGGGATATTGTATGGCAGGCAGGAATTGATATTAGTGTTGAGCGTCTCGATACCTTTCTACATATATATGGATGGTCGGAATCGGGGTTGTATCGAGTGAGTTATGGTCTTCGGAAGAATTAGGGTTTTGGAAAAGCCCTAGTATGCGGGGCATACCAAGGTGGTACGTAGGGCGTACCGAGGAGAAGGAACTACGCGAGGTGTCGTTGGGAGGAACGCACAACATAAGTGCGAAGTTTGGGTTGGGGTGCGCGGCCTCGTACGCGGGGCGTACGAGGGTTAGATTGAAAACCCTAAATCCAAGGGTTGTACCCTATATAAGCATCCTTAAGTCATTGCGGCTAAACCCTAGCAAGCCTCTACAACCCTTAACCTCAGATTTCCTTGTGAGAGTGTTTCTTGAGCTTAGAGAGTGTATGGGTGGCCATTTTAGAGATCATTCAAGAAGGAGAAGATGGTGAGCAAGCTTGGTGTGGCATTGAGCTTCAAGATCCTGCATCTTGTTCATCTTGAGGAGTTTTTGAAGGTATAAAGCCTTAACCTTGCCATCTCATTCATTAGATGGAGTTAGGGTTTGTTATATTGTCCTCTTTTGAGTTCATAAGTCACCTCTTGGGAGTTTGAGCAACCCAGAGCTTCGGAAGAATAGATATTAGGTCCTTTAGCTCGTCCATATAATAAAAATGCAATCTTGTTGGGTGTTTTGACCTCATGCATGAGTTAAGGCCATTTTCATGGAAGTAGAATGTCATTTTTAGAGTTTGGGTTCATTTGGGGCATGTAAAGTCACCAAGTCAGTGACTTTATGTGTTTAGACATTATTTGGGACTCAGATCTGTATTTTGGACGTATGGCTTAAAGCATTAAGTGCTTAATGGCAAAAGTGGGATTAAGAGGGAAGTACACTAGACGTACAAGTCAGTACGCACAACGTACAAGCAATTACGCGAGTACGCACAACGTACTGCTGAGT